TCGTATGTTCTAGGGTATAATCTTTAAATTTATGATTTTGTTTTTTATTTTTTAAGTATGTTGATTCAACAATTCTTGTTTCAATAAATGATTGTCAATATGTAACAACAGTTAATGATACATTAAATACGTATGATTTATCAAATATTCAATTATATCTCGGTGGTTTACCAGTAACTAGTTCATTAATGTCTGGTCTTTATCCATCATTAACACAAGTAAATACATTTAGTGGTTGTATAAGAAATGTTTTATCAAATGGCCATTATCTTGATATGAGTAAAGCATTAGTATCAGTAAATTCTTATTATGGTCAAAGTTCGTGCACATTGACAAATCCATATACAACACCACCAACATCAATAACAATAACAACAACGACAACAACACCAAGACCAACAACAACAGCAACAGCTGGACGTAGCGCCCATTTTGCAACATTTCGATTTATTTGGAAGTTAGTTGCAGTCGTTTTCATAATGAACCTAAACTAATGGGAGCGACAAACTGTCCGGATGTCCCACTTTGATGCAGTCCTATTGTAAGGACAAAACATACTATTGTCCGGGTCATATGAGAGAGGATCCCAGATGATCCTGGAGTGGCCTGAACAACACCATGTTTTATCCTTACAATAGTAGAAGCTGGTAGCTGTTCTCTACTATTGTAAGGATCAAACATGGTGTTGTTCAGGCCAATCCAGGGTTATCTTGGATCCTCTCTCATATGACCTGGACAATAGTATGTTTTGTCCTTACAATAGGACTGCATCAAAATGGAACATCCGGACAGTTGGTCGCGCCCTTATGTAAGACAAACGTTGAAAAGGACAAAATAAGAGTTGATTGCACTAAACTGATAAAAATAATTATTTGTTATGAAAAAGATGTTTATACTGTTAACGCGAATGGATTAGTTAAAAAATGTAAATTTATGTGATAATATTCTCTAACTGTTTTATTTGTTTTTAATACACTTTAAATCTAATTATTTTATTGTTTTTTTCTGCATCAGTAACTCCTCGAAAATAAACTGCTTTCTAATTTTAGAATCTTTAATAAACTGATTGCATATTCTCATCCTAACATTTACAGATATTGGTAGTAAAAATTTCAGTTCAATTAAACAAAGATAGAGAAAATTTCTACTGAGACCAAGTTGCAAAAATTCATAATTTATTGTACACTAAACTAGAGAAAAAAATCTTCTTTATCATTACTATGGAAAAATAGGGGTGTGGGTGTGGGGTGTGGGTGTGGATGTGGTGGGTGTGGGGTGTGGGTATGTATGTGGGTGTGGGTGTGGGTGTGGGTGGGTGTGGGTGTGGGTGTGGGTGTGGGTATGTGAAGAAAACAATCACACCCACACCCACACCCACATACATGCTCACACTCACATACATACCCACACCCACACCCCGAAGTCGGCCTTAGCGTCGACTTTCATAACTTTCTATTCGTTTTTGGATTAAAATTCATGCAGTGTTTTATGATTCCGAACTTACCTGATGAGTCCCTTAAGCAAGTACGAAACGCGTCGTATGTTGTTTGGAATCCTCTTATATACTCCACCCTCACACCCTCAAGGTCAAAATCCAGATCTTGGTTTGCAACAATTATGAGCGATTGAGTATGAAACTCGTAGTAGCTGTAGAGGGCTTTCAATGAAATAACATCATCATGTACCTTTCTTCCGAGGGCATGGTAAATTCCGATTTCCTGGAAATCCAAGGGTGTGGGT